AGTGTGGGAGTTACGGTCAGCTGGGACTCTCACTTCGTCTGCTTTATAATCAGCTGCGATTTTCTCTTTACCCGCGTAAACAGTCGGAGTTTCAATGTAGCACTGACTTGCGTATACTGAAGTACACATCTCATCTAAACGGACCAGTTGTAGCCAATAAAAAATAACAAAAATACAAAGTTGTATGGGCTACTTGCAGAGTGTAGTACAGTATAAAATTATGACGGCTTCCTTAGTTATTGTTACTGTGAAAGTTTATAAGGAATAATAAATGCTACGGCTTGGATTTATAATAAGTCGCCATTTAATTGGCTTGGTTAAAAATAAGAGTATTTGACATAAATCTGTAAATTACATCAGTGCATTCTGTCGTTGGCTCTTACAATTAAATAGATTTTTATTCTCAATTTTAAGACGAAAAAGGAATGACTAGTTCTATCCGTAGTCAAGGGTTATAGTTAGACGAAACTCACTACTGTACGCACAATCTCTGGGAGATAAGTGTTTCGGCAAGACGAGCTTTATAAGTTTTTAGTTTGAGAGAATCCAAGATCTGTCTAAAGGCTGCGCTATACCTCAGCTAGGAATTCTCAGTTAGGGCTTCAGTACACTATGTTGCGCCATTAAACAGCGCCACAAGTAGCGCTTTCAGACGTTTAAGTTCTCTCAAAAATTGTTTTTCATCTGAAGAAGGTTCCTTATTCCCTGGATTCAAATGTATGACTCTATCGGTTTTTCGTCTTGAGAGAAAATCTACTACAATATCAATAATTTATTCGTGAATAAAACTGAAATCGGCTTTTGTCCAGGTTACGTAATTTAAGCCAATTGCTTCTGGACATCTCCAAGGTAAGGTCATAATGTATTATGGTACAAAAAGACATCAATTTATTAATTTAATCTATATTGTTTGTAAAACCACTTCTTGGATCGCCCTGTGTCACTAGAAACTACAAAGGTGCAAAACTACCCCTCGTGACAAGTAATATATACCTAAGTAATATCTAATTCAGTTTGGCCGATAGCATCCTAAAGGCTGCAGAAGACCCATGTTCTACATTAGCTCCATTAGTCTGCTCTCCCTGGGTGCTACTGAGTGACAGAGACATATAACGACGTTATATCACATCTCTCAACACTCAACAGCTGATGGTGACGTCGACCCACATTCCACACGCGCCTTCTACATTCCTACACGGTCTTCAGTCTTCAGTCTTCATGCAGTTGATAACAGAGCAATGTATTAGTGTCGTGTATTCGGTATAAATGTGAATTCTGTTAAAGGTGATGTATTTAGCTCCGTATATTGTACGTAAACGTTACTCGATCGCGAACTGAGTAGAATACTCGTTGGAATTGACACGACCCAAAATGGTGGTAAAAAAACATATTGAAAGTCACATTTTCTTTATAAATATGTTTTTGGATGATACAATCCTTGTGCAATTGCATGTTCTGTTCTTTGTAGCTACGGCATTGGTAATAATTACAATGGAAGTTATCGGACAGTAATGTTTAAACGTAGGCCTACACCCTATTTTTCTTAAGTTGGAAAGTGGGCTTTTTCTGAACTTGTATCGATTAAAGAAAGGAAAGTGCTTCCTTTGGTGTTCAAACGCTTAAAGTTCCCAAAATTTCAAGATAAGCAAAGAAACTTTGAAAGCCTATTGCTAATCTGTTTAGATCATAAAATAAAACTGATTCATCATCACTCTCTTCCCATATTGATGTCAACAAAGAAGTGAGTGTTTGGAATGATCTTCCGCTGCCAAGATCATAAAAACTAAAGAGCACAAGAAATCACCAAAGTAACAAAATTCCGTGTCTTCCACGTTCACACGTTCACATTCCGGCCACCTAGAACCGCAATTTGGCAGAGCAGGAACGAAAACTTGTGGCCAACCATAAAACGGTGGCGTAATAATTGTTTGTTAACAGTGGCACGAACTAGTCGTCAACGGTCTGGGAGAAAATTAGAACTGGCCTGGGTGAAATATTGGAGCATTATATCAACGGGGCTTATGGCCGTTCCCGAATATCCCGCGGTTTCTTTAATTTGTCCCGCCAAATTGTGCGTGTTCGGAGATAAATCCCGGGAGCAACGCGTCAACACGCCCCTGGAACGTAGCAGAGTGGGTCGCTGGAATTTAGAGGGAAATAAAAGTAATTTGTGGCGCGTTAGTGGACGCAAGTTGACAGAAATTTGTATTTGGACCGAATCCTTAGACAGAGTACATTTTTTTAGTCGCGCTTTTATAATATAGTCAGAGGAGGAAGAGAGCATTAAACCCTCTGCAAGAGAACCTCCACTAAGATTAGTGTATGAATTTAAATAATGGGTCATGATGCAGGACTAAATTCAAAAGTCATAAATGCATCGTATTTCTGGGATTGCCAGATCAGTTTCTGGAAGGCATAATTCTTCAAAATGAAGGTGTCATGGTATGTTTATATTTTTCGTTTAAGACATTATGGTAACTGTATTATGGTAACTGTCGTACTGGTAAGGACAACGAAGGCGAGTTCGTCACCATGAAAAAAAAAACACTCATGTCATTAGGATATGCTTGTTTGTGGATAATAAGTGTAAAAAAGAAATTCTTTCAACACCCTTTCATCACACCGAAAAACACAAGTTGTCAAATGCTCTTCACAACACAACGAAAAAAAGTTCCTATTAAGAGAATCATATTCAACCCGTTACATCACCACGTTCAAGCCACAATGTTGCATTGGTCAAACATTTTCAATCACTCTACAGCAGCATAGTAGGAGTAAATATAAAGACAGATCGAATCGGGCCAGCGATTGTTCCGATGTAGGATGTCGTTTAGCACCTGACACGAGGACCATTGTGTGTGGAGCGATACTATCAATAACTCGACACTGGCTACCTGCCTACAGTCTGACGCGACTTGCGTGAATATACACCGTCAAGGACGAGTCTTATCACTGATCAAGGCCGCCACACAAAGCAAAAGTTGATATTGTACAGTGTGATTGTGTGTGACACCTACATCTTCAGTTTCTACCTGCCTACAGTCTGACGCGACTTGCGTGAATATACACCGTCAAGGACGAGTCTTATCAGTGATCAAGGCCGCAACACAAAGCAAAAGTTGTACAGTGTGATTGTGTGCGACTCCTACATCTTCAGTTTCTACCTGCCTACAGTCTGACGCGACTTGCGTGAATATACACCGTCAAGGACGAGTCTTATCACAGATCAAGGCCGTCACACAAAACAAAAGTTATTGTACAGTGTGATTGTGTGCGACTCCTACATCTTCAGTTTCTACCTGCCTACAGTCTGACGCGACTTGCGTGAATATACACCGTCAAGGACGAGTCTTGTCACTGATCAAGGCCACAACACAAAGTTAAAGTTGACATTGTACAGTGTGATTGTGTGTGACACCTACATCTTCAGTGTCTACCTGCCTACAGTCTGACGCGACTTGCGTGAATATACACCGTCAAGGACGAGTCTTATCACTGATCAAGGTCGTCACACAAAGCAAACGTTCATATTGTACAGTGTTCAACGTGTGTGAAACCTACATCTTCAGTTTCTACCTGCCTACAGTCTGACGCGACTTGCGTGAATATACACCGTCAAGGACGAGTCTTATCACTGATCAAGGCCACAACACAAAGCAAAAGTTGATATTGTACAGTGTGATTGTGTGAGACACCTACATCTTCAGTTTCTACCTGCCTACAGTCTGACGCGACTTGCGTGAATATACACCGTCAAGGACGAGTCTTATCACTGATCAAGGCCGCCACACAAAGCAAAAGTTGATATCATACGTGATTGTGTGGGACACCTACATCTTCAGTTTCTACCTGCCTACAGTCTGACGCGACTTGCGTGAATATACACCGTCAAGGACGAGTCTTATCACTGATCAAGGCCGCCACACAAAGCAAAAGTTGATATCATACGTGATTGTGTGTGACACCTACATCTTCAGTTTCTACCTGCCTACAGTCTGACGCGACTTGCGTGAATATACACCGTCAAGGACGAGTCTTATCACTGATCAAGGCCGTCACACAAAGCAAATGTTGTACAGTGTGATTGTGTGGGACACCTACATCTTCAGTTTCTACCTGCCTACAGTCTGACGCGACTTGCGTGAATATACACCGTCAAGGACGAGTCTTATCACTGATCAAGGCCGCCACACAAAGCAAAAGTTGATATCATACGTGATTGTGTGTGACACCTACATCTTCAGTTTCTACCTGCCTACAGTCTGACGCGACTTGCGTGAATATAAACCATCAAGGACGAGTCTTATCACTGATCAAGGGCACAATACAAAGCAAAAGTTGATATCACACGTGATTGTGTATGACACCTACATCTTCAGTTTCTACCTGCCTACAGTCTGACGCGACTTGCGTGAATATACACCGTCAAGGACGAGTGTTATCACTGATCAAGGGCACAACACAAAGCAAAAGTTGATATCACACGTGATTGTGTATGACACCTACATCTTCAGTTTCTACCTGCCTACAGTCTGACGCGACTTGCGTGAATATACACCGTCAAGGGCGAGTCTTATCAGTGATCAAGGCCGCCACACAAAGCAAAAGTTGATATTGTACAGTGTGATTGTGTGTGACTCCTACATCTTCAGTTTCTACCTGCCTACAGTCTGACGCGACTTGCGTGAATATACACCGTCAAGGACGAGTCTTATCACTGATCAAGGCCGTCACACAAAGCAAAAGTTGATATTGTACAGTGTGTGTGTGTGACACCTACATCTTCAGTTTCTACCTGCCTACAGTCTGACGCGACTTGCGTGAATATACAGTACACCGTCAAGGACTAGTCTTATCACTGATCAAGGCCACAACACAAAGCAAAAGTTGATATTGTACAGTGTGATTGTGTGTGACACCTACATATTTAGTTTCTCCCTGTACGACTCTTCTTCTCAAGCTCTTGATTAGACTAAACATACTGAGGTGGTTTTACTTACATTCTTTGTTTTTGTCCATAGACTTCTGCAGGGGAGAGTCGTCGACCTCTGCCTTGGGCGGCGACACCGGGGGCGGCGGCGGTGGCGGCGCAGGCGGTCCGTTCTCCGCAGCCATTGCTCCGGGCGGCTTCACGTTGAACCACTCCGGGTAGATACCCACCAGCGTGTCCAGCAGATCCTGGTCGAGCTGTATCCTCCACACCAGCCTCTCACTGGACCCTGCGACAGAGGGAAGTACTCGGATATCACCAGAGAACGAACAACATCAAGGTATAGGTTGCACTGTAAGATATAGTAACAAACCAGATCTCCCTATAACGTTCTATGTACCTGTTATACAGAATAAACATTGCTTATCGATTAAGAAATGTCTACAAGCAAAGTGATCATTTTTAGGTGGGTGATAACATGGATTAGAATATCAAGAGACGCAGCGATTGGCGCAGCATGTGCCAGTACAGTATGTCTGCATCGCGACTGAATTGCAAAGTCCCAGAACTATCCTTCAAAAAAATGTATTTCAATAAGCAATCAATATCACCACATCATGGTAAATATATAACTTATGGTAAGCACGCTATGGTTGACGTGCCTTACCCTAGAATCCATCCCATTCCCATTAATCAAACGATATAACCTTGCAACATTTTTTCAAGCAGCTAACTTTATGCGGTAGAGACTCGCAAGGAGACCTCCGTTTAATCGAAAACTGTTAATATTCGTTTTCAAGATGCAAGCTCTTTTTGTTCACATTCTTTTGACATAACGCAGATGATTTGATCCGAGGTCAGTAATCAGTGGATGCGGAATTGTTTTGTCGAGTGCAGCTGAGAGTGTTGTGCAGGGAGTGGTCGTGTGGGCAGTCAGTAGCCCACACTAGGCCCACACAGCACCCACTCGCGACGCCATTCATTACACCACTAGAGATCAGCAACATCTCTCTGGGGAAACTGAACATTCCGGACCTCCCTCGGACGGAACTGACACAAACTGTACACAATGAAAATCCCTTGGGCCTTCTTGGACGCCATGAGTGAGAAGCTGACGGGTTGTTGATTAAACAGTCTTTATAGAATCAAAATCACATTGACATTCTTTTTGACCATCAGAAGCTACGAAACACTACCAAGTTGATGATCAAGTGAACTTCACGTGGATCCCAGATTTATTGCTTATTCTGGGACATTCTCTTACAAAACTACAAGTCACAGGATAGGATACATAAAGAGCATCTTCAGAATAAAACCAAAAATTTACTTTGACTATCCGGACCAAACTCAGGTACAGCTGAGGAGATAACGAATTGACCATGAAAGCTCAATTGAGCAAAGAACACATTTGGTTCTTCTACCTTGTGGTCAAAATTCTCCTGTTAGAAAGCCAAGACCAAGTTTCTTTAGGTTTTCCGTTTGAGATGCGTGCAAACCACAACCTTTTATCACGTAGCAGTGTTTTGCGTCGCCGGATGATTCCCCATAACGTGAGGTGGTGGAGGTCAATCACAGGTTCTCACCGTGTGGGAGCGGTTCAAGGTTTCGCCCAGGAAATGAGTCCGTCCCGCTTGTATGCTAAATAATGTGTGAATCTTGCCATGATGCAGTCCAGGATTCACTGCTTCTCAGAACTTGGTCTTTATCACGTTAGTAAAATGCATAATCAACTTACATTGCATTGCATGAGCCTGTGACTTTACGTTGCGAGAAGAAAACTCAAGTTCACCAACTCCCTACCAAAAATTATTAATTTGTCTTTAGAAACAGGTAAAAAAGTTAAAACTTCACTGATCTGCACTAGAAAGTGTCTTGACTGAAGCAAGGGCCAAAACTATTCATGGAAACGTAATGAGAGTTAGTCTTAGACAAGTAGCATACTTCGAAGAAACATGAATGGTACTTAGATCTTCCTTAAGACATAAACGCTCTAGTCTAAAACTCTCGTAGAAACATAACCGCTAGAAAATGGCTTAACAATTCATTGAAAAGAACGAAGCAAATAAACAGAACAATAGGTTATAGAACTCATTAGTACATTCATGAAAACAGAATACTCTCATTACCAGCGGGAGAAAGCTGTATGTGAGTAGCGGCCAAATGGCGCAGGCTACTTAACAAAAGGTACTTCAAGTCGACGAAATGGACTGCCACAAACGATTATGATCAACATTGCTAATGAAATAGCTTTATGGCATAATTCTCACCGTTCCTTGTTACAATATCCGCAAGGCTGTATCTGTGGGATGTTGTAGATAATAACAAATTTTGGAAAGTTAGAAGTTAATTTGTTGGCTTTATCGACAAAATTAGTAAAATGTGTATCCAGATGCATTGTAATAGAAGCTGAAGAGGTTTGGAGGAGGAGGGTCGGGTTCGAGTTTTGTTTTACATTCAACAAACGTGTGGGGGGTTTTAAGAGCTTCAATTGTGCCCAAAAACCAAACGGCTATAACAATTATTGGGACATAGCTAAAATATGAATTTTCAAAAATATGAATAATTTGGTAAACCTTAAAATTGACATACACGATCGCTGTTAAACATCATGAAAGTGTTGAAAATAAGGAAACACGTTACTAACTTGACACTCTTCTCTTGAATGCGGTATCTGAGGACTAAGGAATTTAAAAGTTGTTTTTCCATATTGTCCGAGTGTTTTCGCAAGACTTTCTAGCAGCTAACGATCCACTGACCAGAGACCACTCCAAGGCCAGCGGGGAGTAGTCACGCCGGCGCCAAGGTACAGCATACAGATGGTAACACCTGTCACACTATTGTAATCGTTAATCGTGAAAACTATGAAGAATATCTTGAAATCGAACCCCATTCCATTCGGTGGGTTCAAGGAAATAAAGAGCGAGCTTTCATATTAATTTTGATTTTAGGTCAAATACGTCTAGCGTTTGAGATGCAACTGAAACCGTACAGGTTGATTCTAAAGTTGGGTATAAGCATGAGGCATCACAAAAAATAAATTGATTTTTTTAAGAGATTGAAACAGAAGTAACAAACTACAGTTCGAAATATGGGTGAAAAGGATAGGTAACGTCGTAGGCTACACTTAGCAATTTTCTGTTTGTCAAAGGTAATAGTTTTTATTAGACTTTTGTATACTAAAGCAGAAAACCCATCAATATGGCTATACTAGGTAGCTAATTTATTGACAGTTAAATTAACCACCCATGGTGTTAGCTACTGCTTAATTTGTATTTTTTTTCTCTTTAATTTGTGATATCTTCATGTTTGGTTACGACATAAAAGAAGCTATAGATGCTAAGATGCTTAATCGGCTCGATTAAAAAGTTGTCACCTTTGGCCGAGATCAATAACTGACATAATCACACTCTTTTGGTCCACTCACTCAGGGAAAACATCTTATTCCCTGTGTCAGTAGAGTTCTTTGGTGTCTGCCGAAGAATAAACCTGAACAAGAAATCAGAGTTTACTCAAACCCCGGTGACGGCAAGTACAAAGCACTCGATACTCAAGTATAATTGCAGCCGCTCAGTAATCGCTGCTTATCTCGAGCCTGTCGAGGCCGTACTTTCCCAGGTCAAGTGTTCGTCCTAGGCCCACTTTGCCGGACAGTCAACTCGACTGCAGTATTGCCGCTGCGTAGATGCAATCTGTGCTTTGTGCATCTGTTTAATACTTCACTGGGATGTCATTTAACCAACGTAGATGCTGCAAAGAGTGTTAGAAGTCTTCAACTCCTTCTATATGTTCTTCAGGCTGATTGAATTCCAGTTAACTCATGCTAGATTGAGTTATCTACATATTTCAAAACAGTGTGCATGCTTGCTTGAATGAATGTGCATGCGTTATCTTTACGCACCCTACTTGTTTTAATGTCGTCCAAACAGAAAAACCAAGGAAAATCGGTTATGATAATATTTGATTTTATCACCAACCTTGTAGATCTCCCCATCTTGAGGTCTACAGTGTGTAAACCCCCTACAGTCACAATCCCACAAAATGGTGCTCCATAGAGCGAGACTATTTATTTGTGCGATTTCAAGCTTTAAATTTGGGATTATTCGGAGCATAAATGAAATAGTAAAATTAATTTATGTGACAAAACAGTTTTAACATAGGCTATAAAGTAGAAATTGTGGGACAAACTGATCCAGATCTTTAACAGTGTTACGTTAAAACTCCACTCATTCCTTGGAATACATATTGATAACTCCACAATCCACACGTATGATAAACTGGAGGCGACACATGGGCTAGCGTGTGGTTTTGAAAGTACAACTGGGAGATTGGAGGGTTATTTACATCAACAAGTGCGATCGAACGATGGTGTACCAGTAAAACCGAGGGATCAACGGAATTCCTAGTCATATTGAGGATCCAAGTCATGCGCACTGAACTTTCCTCTAGTGATTCTTGTCTAGTTGAGAGGCGGCGGTGGCGGTGGCGCCTATGTTACATCACGCCGTGATATCACAGTCACTAGCGCCATCTGTCCAACTGATTGGCGATTGTCGATAGAACATGACCGCTTTCACCAACCAGAGCCTCCACAAAGGTTGGCTAACGTGAACCGCACACCTGTTACATTTAGCGTCACAGGCTAAAATGGGGAGAAAGACGAGAGGAAGACGAAAAGTAAGAGAAACCTACGATACTGATGACATGCAAGGAAAAGAGATACGACAACACTCATTGTTACTATGAGTATGTCATTGCCAAGTAGTTTTTTGGTCATACAATTATAATACAAAATCTCACTTAGGTGTACTGTTCATTCCAGTCTGGCTAGACTAAATATAATTATAGTTTCATCCTGAAAAAAGGGTTTACGATTTAGATGATTTTAAAAGCTCAGAGAGAGCACCCGTGGATGTCTTGTAAAATCTTAGGTAGCTACCATTACACTTTTTAGATTGTGATAAAAACTTATATCACCATCTGAAGGTACGTCCAGGGCACGACACCCTCGATTTTCATTAGCTCCTTCTTTCTTTTGTTTCAAGTGTGAGCATCTAATGGTTAACATGTGTATAAATTTGATAATGTTGCAACTACCGTCAAAAAGTATGACCAGTCGAGGTACTTCCACGATAAGATAATTTCCTGATTTCCTCTTAATCATTGTTTGATTTAACATACAATTTTTGTTTAAACATCCTGAGCACGAAAATATCAAGAGGTCAAACAAGTTTCCATGTGACAAATCCTCACATTGAATCAAACCAAATATTCACAAACAGGTGAATGACT